GGATCATATTATTACTTGAATTTTCATTATGGACACTAAGTCCCACTTTAATAATAACAAATTTATCGGTACACTATATTCATCAACTCTAGTTTGTATAATATTAATTTTGGTAAATAACATCCCAGATATAATAAGTACCTTCAAATATATGTATAACTAAATTTTTTTTTTTTCAAAGTTTATTAAGGCTTCAACAACACAGGTTTTTAACCTACTTTAGTTAAAATGTATACAAGAAAAAGAAAGGAAAATATATAATATATGTATACATTAAATTTTGGAATACATTTTACTACATTATTATAGTTACTATTTACAATACTATAACTAAATTCTCGTATAATATTATTATATAAACTCAATTACGTATTTAATTTTTTTTTTTTTTTGTAAACTAATAAAAAACTATGATACTTGACATTTATTAGTCTCAATTATACTGCTTCTGTCTGTTTGATACGGATTTTATCTATTGATATTTTTTTTAGGGGATATTAAAATWTAAATAATATATTAATATAAGTCTACTCGAATATAGTATCTTAGTAGTAAAGTAACTATATAATACATTTTTATTTTGCAGTAGTTAGCTGGCTGCTGCACACTATAGTAATTTACGGTTGTTGTGAAACACGATATTATTTTACTATATTTCGTGCTTTGAATATAATAATATATCAATAGAAAAAAAATGTCCCGACCTTTATACTTACCAATTGTATTTGATTCTAAAGTTCGCCGTTTATGTTTATTATATACATATATATAATAATATAGTGTTTATACCCGAGTTGCCTCACTGTAATAAATAAATGAAAATGTATTCGTCATTGACCTTTGACGCTGCACCGCGCTCGTTGTAGTTCTGATCTCGTAGGCGGTTGGTTTCCTACATAATAACAATATTAATAATATTATTATATTGTTATTATTACACTTGTGCCGGTAAACCACATACCCGGTCAAAGTCGATCGGAAYCAAACATAATTTAATAGTATTGTATATTGGAATATCATATTATTCGTGTCTACGTGGGACCGGTCGCGCGTTTCTTTCGTCCCCTGCTTCGTCGGCCGACCCCTTCCCTGCGCTTATTCTCGTTCGGGTCGGGAGAAGGAAATAGAACCGCCGCCGCTAGTATTCTTGTCTATGGACGGCCGGCCGGCCGTGGTGGTAGAGCACAGTGGCTTGGATCGTTGTGCTTCGTTTTTCGAACCAGTCGTACGCGCACGTTTTTCGCCACGCTCGTTTTTTTCGCGCGCGCGCGTCAGGCCAGCACTACGCACTGTGCTATTATAATATTCCGCTTCAGACGTCGGGTAGAATCGCCGCTCCGTACGTCGATTCTGTTTGTAATTTTCTGCGTACACGGCAAGATATTATTATTACTGTGTGTTTATACGCAAAACCGACCGAACGGTGTGCGTACACACAGTATAATTTTTGTAATACTTTATGCTGTACGTGAACGAATAATACGCAAAGGGAAACAATTTTTTCGTTTGAAAGCATATTATAAGTCCTTCGTCCAGACCGCGGAGATAGTACCTTATTTTTCGGCTCCTATATAATATAATAATATTTATACTGTGACATACCGTGAGTCGGTGAAACTCGTAACGATGGAAGTTGAGTCTGCAAAGCCKATACGTTTGGCGATGCCCAAGCCGCACGTGGTGTGCCACATCACACCGCCGGATGACGAGCCGATCGCGCCAAAATCGATGCCGAAAAACGTGTACACGTTGTCGCCGTCATCCCGATCGCCGAGCCCCAGCAGGCGGTCGTCGCCACGCACGTCRTTCCTGCACGACGCTTACCGTGCGCTTACCGGTACCTCAAAGAATAGCGGCACGTCGCTGACTGTCGCCAAGAGCTCTGCGCTTATGGTACCGATGCCCCAGCAGCAATTGCCGTCGGCGGAAACCCGGGTGTCCAGTCACCAGCACGCGTCGTGTCTGTTAGACGTACCCAAAGACGTACAGTTCCGAAACAGGTCCAAGTCACTGGACGACGGTACCAGGAAAATGCTGCTGCAACAACAGTCGACTCGACAGCGACTTGACAGCGGTGACGCGTATAAAATATTCGAGAGCATTTTGAAAGAAGGTATTAATAATAATAATAATAATAACGTTTGAGAGCATTCAAATCGAACCGTTCGGTATGTGAGGGAATGGTTGATAATATAACCATTTAGATTTATATAAGGCGTCGATGTGGTTAAGACGATTAAGAATTGAAAATCAAACTATACTGAAGTGTGTCTCGAAAATCAAATATTGCCTGAAATATCTCGGTAGTAATAATCACAATAATATGATATAATATATTCATTGCCGTAGAAACCGCGGTGCGGGCGATCATTGCACCGCGGCCCAACGTTGCAATTTCTAATATGAGGCCCATGCTTAAATAAAATAATACAAGAATTAAGAATCTATGCTAAGAACAGTTTTTTTTATAAGATCGTAATATAATGCTGTTAGTACGTTGTTATTTTAGCATAATATAGCATCCCCAGGCTTCAAATCAGCACCCTCAGTTCCAATATAATAACATGTAACAATATAATTAATTTTTAAATATTTTGAATACATAAAATATTWTGTACGGTATAGCTGCTTAACAGTTTAAATAAATAAAGAGTAACGATTACATTAACATTTATAMAATTTCAATTTTATTCTTAGTTATTAATTTGTCTATACAAAGTACCTATTGAAGAAAAATTAATTAAAATTGTAATTGATTATATTTGTATTATAATTAAAAAGTAAGAATATGAATAAGTAAAAATGTAAAATTATTGCAATGCAGTTTATTATATTATTAGTGRGGTTGTGAACTGTGGGAGCTAAGCCCTCCACGAATCTGTGTACCATCAATTATTTCAGCATCCCCTAAATTCACATCCAATGTGATCTTATTTAAAGGGGCCACAGATTAAATCTGTAGTAGGACCCATCTATTTCTAGCTACGGCACTGCAGGATATATTTACCTAGATATTATTTTTYAATAGAAATCTATAAGGATCATTTTTTTAGCTAAGTGAGAGATTATACATCAACGGTATAAATGTTGTTTATAAATATATGAAACAACTGCATTAACCATGATTTGATGCAGGAGATCATATTGTAATAACTTTTGTCATCAAATTCGAGATAAACCGTTTCCTATCAGTTAATAATATAAAATAATATCGTCTTTGCGACAAAGGGGTGTATACCTATATTAAGAATAATTGTCATGTGCTCGATGCATGTGCAATAACCCATAGAAACATTTATGATGCCTTATTAGAAGTATCTATCGTAATAATCGTACATATAATGGAAAAACATATTATTTAGAAGAGTCACATGTGTCGAATATTAACCAGTATTTGTCGATAAAATAATATTATACCTATTACCTATATAGTACAAAAGGCTACCTATGATTCGATGATTTCTCCGCCGTATCACATTCACCTGCACTCACCAGACGTACATTTTATATTATTATGTGGCATACCCATAAGATGTCGTATTGCTACATCTTTGCAGTAGCTGGTTCTATATATAATTTATAGGCTGATAAAGAAAGTAATTTTACTGTCTACATTTCTACAATATTATTATATAGTTCATTCGCTGGCATCATAGTATTTTTTATTATATTTTGTCGTGTGCGAAGTCTACACGTCTAAAAAATAAAAATAATTTCACACCAATAAATAATTATAATGACTATTGTGCGGTTTATCARCCTAATTATTTCATTTATGTATAGTTTTTCAATTGTGGTGGTCGCMTTTCGATATTATAATATCGTACGTATAATATTATGATATAATATAATACATGCATAATAGTAACAAGGAACATTAAAAAAACGTGTATTTCGGTGGCCACGGCGACCTTGAATTTTGTTTTTATATTTTTTTTTGAAGCCGGTCATCGACGCACATCATTTTCAACCCGACAGCAATTCTATTTGCACCCAATTCCGCGATCGATGACGATTTACTATAACACTTAAATATTATTTTGTTATCACCCGACACTTGTTCGCAATAAAATATTATTATTTCTCGTCTTGCAAATGTGACGTTATCTATATTTCAGTCGTATAATCCTAAACACATATTGTTAGATAAATTATGCTAATGTATGCCTACAAAGAATATTATCTATTAATTGTTACCTCTACCACAATATAGTGATCCTAGAGTAATTAWAAATGTGGTTAGAAATTTTCATTACAATTTTGCCGTCGAAAATTGGTCAAATAGCATACACAGAGTTAACCCCTCCTCCTCAGAAATATCTGAATAAGTCTATAGGATTAATATAATATTATGTGAACCACTGTAAATCGCTGTTGTTGTATAAAATAAAATTCTCACCGGTTATCGTGGAGGCAAAAATTAAACGTCAAAGGTTCGTTTTATTGTAAGTAGATTATATTATATTACTTGTGTATTTATTTACATAGTCACACCAACAAGTAATATATTATAGCCATTGTGAATGCAAGTCCTTGAGATTCAGTACAGTTCGGTTTTATTTTTTATTTACTCCGCGTCAACTGGACGAGAAAAAGAAGGAAATCGAGGAATACACTGTATTCAATACAGATCTAATGCGTTTGTAGCTGATGTAATATTAAATATCCGTAGTACACGAAACTTTGTAACTGGTTTAACGCAACCGGTTTCAATATTTGCGGTAACATCCTATAAATACACGTACCGACGATGATAGTCGAAGCCGTGTTCTTGCGAAGGGTAAATAAGTTATAAGTTATAACTTACAACGCTTATAACTAACGATAATGTTATTAATAGCCAAAGATATTAAATCCTACGACTCTGTAATGAAGATAAGTACGATTCTCATTGTGTTTTCTAGACAGTATGGAACGTTTATGATATAGATAGGTAGTATGCGCGTAGATCGTTAAACATGTTGGTTTTAAATATTGTGTCAAAAAATGCGCACGCCTTCAGCTGTCTCTGTGTATATTTAATTTTATACTTGCGAWTTTTTTGTTTAACAGAGGTCTATAATTTTGTCGATGTTTTACATTTCTGTATATGTATCTACGTCATAAAATCGTGTTCGTCTCATTCGCGCAGTTTAAATAGGTGTTCTTTAGTTTGATTGCGTTGACGTTTGTGTTTGAATTGCGCAAAGTCTTCAACTTTTCGACTTGACGTGTTATTCTTGAAAAAAAAAAAGATCATGATAAAACATGGTCATTAATCGATGTAATTACTGTTGATAAAATGACAACGTTTAGGTATATGTGTGTGTGTGTTGTTGCACACTCAGAGATTATGATGTTAATTCTTTTTATGTAAAACTCATTTTTTTCTCATACTTGTTGTGCTCTGATTGAACAATTATAAATAGATTCTACGAAATAAGAATACGGTCTTGGAGATATTATTTGTAATTACTGAATTATTAAAATTATTGTAATCCGAGAAAAAAATTCGAAATTACATTATAATTTATAATATTAGGAGACAAAAATACTTAATATTTTTAATTGAAATGGAATATAAAAAGTGTGCTTCGTATATATTATATATTATTTGTAGTAATTGTATAAAACCTTTATTACATTTTTAATCAACATTAAATATGACAGCCGCATTTTTTAATTTTCTTTTACTTCCAAAATATTTTGGCTTAATTAATTTGATTTATAATTGATTTACCACTATAATATTAACACATTAAATTTTTAAAAGATTTTAAAATTAAATGTGGGACAATTCTAGTTTAATTTTAGTTATCTGTAAAAGTGTACAAGGCGTATCAGTAAGATTTGACAGTTTCACATTTAAATTTCATTTTATACCATTATAAGATTTTAAAAATATCATTACATTGTACATCGCCACAACAATAAGTCATTATATTTCACAAAAATTCATATTGTTTTCTGTATCATTATTATACAATAGTAATGTATCAATCTAAAAATTATTAATAATACATGATTTTAAATTTTACCGTTTGTTGTCAATTAGCTACTTTTGACATAACATTAAATTAATATACAAAATATACTTTTAATTTTCTTTTTATATATTATGTATTATATAGATTTATATTCTATGTCATTTTAATTTATATACATTGGAAATACTGAGAACTTAAGCCTTTGATGTACCTACGTATTCTAGAAATTGTATAATATTAATGGATGTTATACCTTTATTGAACTGTAAAATAACGTTGCTATACTATATTATAATATTATTTATAATATACTATTTTTATTATTATTATTATTATTATTATTGACGCTTCATGTCTATTTCTTGCCCTTTTACGACATTAGATAATAATTATCATTAAAATTGTTTTCTGAATTTCTAAGAGATTAATTTAATTTTTCGTGTAAATTAAATGTTAGTTTTGAAATTTATTTGTTTTTGTTGTCTCGTAAAATACTTTATCTTATTATTATTTTATATCTTATAATATGGAAGATAGATTTTGCCTTAATAGTATTTATGGTGATAATATTGTCTATCTATTAACTACCTATAATAATTATAATAACATTTCAAAGCATTACTTTTTAAATGCTGATTATAACATTATATTGCATATGCATGAAATATAAGTCGTCATAAAATTTGTCATTTTAATTTCAATATTGTTTTATGAAATATATGCGTTATGATCATGACCTATTGACATTGAAAGGTTACGACAACAAGAATAAATAGTATTGTGATGTTTATTATAAAATAAAATGATACTTGTTGTATGAATAATTCATTTATTTTATAATTTTTGCTCTTATAAAATTTAATGCATAATTATTGATTTTATTTTACCAGGAGCTCTTTTACGTAGAAGTTCTCTTGACCCTGAAACTCGTCGTCTATCCCTGGGCACTATATCCAACTCGAGGAAAAACTCTGATGGCCTTTTAGATCCTACACATGCAGCAATATTGTTCAGGGATTCCAGAGGTGTAAGTATTCAAATGCCTTYGTTGAATACTTGAATGGAATGTATTTATTTTTTAAATATTTGTATTCATTTTTTAGCTTCCCGTCGCCGATCCATTCTTGGAAAAAGTAAAAATAAAAGACCTGGGTAAGTTATCAACTAAAATAATAAAGTTACCTATAAATTTATCACATGCTAAGTTAAATATTATCGCTAACTTTTTAATTTTTAGTCGAAGACGAAAGTCAGATTTTTGTGAAATTTTTTCGCTTTCATAAAACTTATGATCTCATACCAACCAGTGCAAAATTGGTTGTATTCGATACACAGTTGATCGTTAAAAAAGCGTTTTTTGCCTTGGTCTACAATGGTGTGCGAGCTGCTCCATTATGGGACAACAAGCGTCAACAGTTTGTGGGCATGCTTACTATTACAGATTTTATCAGGATACTACAAAAGTATTACTCTTCTTCGTCTTCAAGTATGGAAGAATTAGAAGAACATAAGTTGGATACCTGGAGAAGTAAAAAATAATGATTTATGTATAATTTCAAAGGTATGCTGAACATTTTGTCTAAATATAATTTTATGTTTCAGATGAATTACATCAAGATCGTCCTCAAGAATTAATATCCATTGGCCCAGATATGTCATTATATTATGCTATTGAAACTCTAATAAATAATAAAATACACAGGCTTCCAGTTATTGATCCAGCAACTGGAAATGTTCTTTATATTGTTACACATAAACGCATACTACGTTTTCTGCTTCTTTACGTAAGGGTATTGAATTTTATTTTTTTTTTCAAATTGTTTTTTACTCAGTCAATAATTAATGTTCTGTGTGTTCTATAAAAAAATTTTGTATTGACTTTTCAGATTAATGATTTACCCAAACCGGCATATTTATCTCAAAGTTTAGAAGAACTAAAAATTGGCACTTTTGAAAATATAGAGACAGTGTCTGAAGAAACATCTATTATATTAGCCTTAAAGAAATTTGTTGAACGCAGAGTATCTGCTTTACCTATGGTTGATCAAGAAGGTCGACTTGTTGATATTTTTGCTAAATTTGATGTTATTGTAAGTTATCATTTATATATATTAGTTATTATTGTAAGGATAAAAAATAAAAATTCAAAAATATTTGATTGATGTCTTATGTTATTAGAATTTAGCTGCAGAACGTACATATAATAATTTAGATGTTACATTAAAACAAGCCAATGAGCATCGAAGTGATTGGTTTGAAGGTGTACAAAAATGCCACCTGACTGATACATTATATAGTGTTATTGAAAAAATTGTCCGCGCTGAGGTAAGAGAAAGCTTAAATTAGTTCCTGTAAAACTTTATTTTTTATATTTTTGTTATTTTTTTCAGGTACATAGGCTAGTGATTGTAGATGCAGAAGACAAAGTCATTGGAATACTCTCATTATCCGATATCCTACACTATTTAGTACTTCGGCCTTCCGGTATGATTTGATAAATTACTGATCTTATGATTTACATAATTTTATAATATTTTTAAACTACTATTTTAAGGAGCTGATCGGTTATTGAAAACCAAAGAACTATATGAAAATGATGTGGAAAATTCTAAAACTTTAAACTCTACTATGGAGCCAATACTATTACAATCATAATGTGAGAAAATATATTTTATTTAATCCTGTGACATTATGAGTTCTACATGAACAGAATTAATAGTCTGCAGTCATAACACCGGATGATCTGGTTTAATTTTATTTGTACAAGTATTATTTACCTATGTAGTATTATACGACAGCGCTTTAGAGACAACAAAATGTTTATTCTCTAAGTATTAGTTGAAAAATGTATGTTCAATGCCTTTATTATTATTATTATTATTATTATTATTTTTTTTTTTAGAAAGAACTAGTCTGAATTTTTAATATAAAAATTATTTTAATGTCTATAAAAGTTCTACATTTAAAAAAAAAGCGTTACGTGATTTTTCAAATGACCGTGTGATATTGTCAAATGAAGAGCTGTTGAAATATTATATTTGTTATTTAATATATTAATAATAATATTTTTTGACTTTTTATCTTATGTACAATATACATGTATACATTTATTACAAATTATTAACACAACAAAATATTTTTCAATTGAAAATATACCTATATAAAACTTTTTTTTTGTTTTCCAATATATTATTTTTTTTTTTTTGTAGTTTTTAAAATGTATACATGAGTATATAATAAAATGAACGCTGATTGCTATAAAACTTATTTCAATTTTTGTATTATGTGTTTTTGTTTCGATTWAAATGTTCATGAAACGTTTTCTATTAGAATAATAATATTATAAATGTATAATTTTGTTTATTAAATACTTATATGGCATCCCATGTCAATACAAATAATCTACAGAAAAACACTTATGTATTTTAGCAATTGCCTTAGCTTCTGCAGTTAAATTTTATAAGAATTACCAATGATTATATGTACAAATAAAAAATAAAACATTGAATAAGTATATTTGCAAATGATATATTATATATGTTTTAAATATATTATTCAAAAACTAGTGCTTATTATTTTTTTTAGAAAAGACTTGTCTTATTCTAGTCTTTTTTTKGATGTTTTCTTAAATGTTTTTGCTTCTTAGAATCGTAGCATTTTTAGAACCTCAGAACACCATTTACCCTCAATATCTATTTTACTGGAATCTGGATATTTGACAAACACACTGGATTATC